GATTAACACTTTCCTAAAGGGAGTGTTGTCAAAATTTTTACGAATCTAAGAAGTTAGTTAAATTTTGTCTTAGTTGAACTTAGGTTTTGCTCTGGGTTCATATCTGACTTTGAAAAAGTATGGGAAGTTTCCACTTCAAAAGGGAGTGCTGCCCAATTTTTTACTAATTCAGGGAGTTATACAAAATTTGACTTTCCGGAATTAGAGATTGTTTTTGTTTTCATATTTAAGTTAATATAAATTCTGAGAAGGTACTTTTCCTACGGGAAGAACTGCCAAAATTTTCTTAGTTTAAAGAAGTTAGATTATATTTTGACAGGTGGCAAAACCGACAATCCACCCTGAATAGGGGAGATGCTGCCATAGGTCTACCTTGTGTTAGGTATTGGCTTAGAGGTATGCCTAGGCTTAGCTTGTACAAGGACCGTGGGTGAGAATGTGCTATGAAGCTTTATTCTTTATACACTTGTGAATTTAGCTTGGGTATTGGCATGTCCTGTGTTACAGGTCCCCTTGATCGTTTGATTCAGGATCTTGAATAAATTCAGCTTGATCCCACAAGAATCATCTTCTGTTATCACTGATAAGAGGTCGGTTGCCGATTCGTCGGCTTACGACTCAACTATAATTCATCCTCAATACTCAACCTAAAAATACTTTAGCCCTTGTGGTTTCTATTGTTTTATTAAGGTTTTCACCTGAACTTTTATTGAATGGTGATTCAACAAAGGTACTCTATATTTAATTATGGAAGGTTGGATAAAGGTTGGGGCTTGCATGACTAAAGCGAGGGGTATGAGCATAGAGAATTGTTGAAGTTGACCCCGAGTAGTGTGTGGACTTTTGGTTGACTCTTTGATGTGATTGCAGGAATGTTTTGTGGTTCGGACTTTGGATTTGACTGCCTGTGATCACATACGTATATATGGCCGTAACGAGTCCCAGTGTGATTGTGAGAAGTAATCATCACATACTTATTTCCTCACGATATATATATACATATATATATATGCATATATATATGCTAACCCTTAAGCCGCATTGGCCGCGGCGGAGGCCGACGGTTCGCTGCCCGTTGGATTCGGGGTCGAAGTTTCGACAAGGGCCGGCGGATGAACGCGATCCATAGCGAGGGAGTGCGCAGAGAGGCACGCATACCGAAATGTTCAAAGTGCGTCATTAAACGTGAGAGCGCGCCCTCGGGGCGGGGCACACGGCGGGCGTAGGAACAGATGAGCATCTAGACGGAGAGCCTTCTGATATGCGAGCGTTTTTTT